CAGAGGGAGACACTTCCTGTTATGACGTCCTGTACGTGTACACACTATTTTCTACTTCCTTTCCCTCCCCCGTTCGCATTATGGTAGGTTGTGTTGCTTGAATGTTCCTTGGGCTATAAACACCGAAAAGGCCTTGGGACAGAACTGGAGAAGGAATTGTTATTACTAAGAGGTCCTCAGCTTGGAGATGTCTGCTATCATCCATGAACCTTTGGGTTGTCTGCCTCTAGGGGATGAAGGAGAGGGTCTGCAATCACACATGGAATAGTTGCATCATGGTAGAAAGATCCTCTTTTGGAAATGAATGCCCTCCACCCTGCTTCATTTTTCTGTACAGCACTACCAGGTAATCTAGTATCCTCACCAGAATGTAAGTGATTGAAGGAGCTCTGTTTTGTTCACTACTGTCACCTGGGACATGGTAAGAACTCAATAGTTATTGAATGAATGAATGAACAAATGAAGACCTGTGCAGAATCTTATTTTCTAACACCACCGGGATTTCCTCTGGGAGAATGACCTTCCCTCCATTATATTCAGTCTTAGTGGACAGGGAGCCCATGTACTTGCCTCCAAATACAGAGGGCAGGGGGTCCCTGGAGGCACCCAATTCTTCACCTTGTTCCAGTGCCACCAGCTTGTGGACACATCACCTAAGCTCAGAGAGTTGAATCCTCTATCTTGGAATTTTAACTCATGGGGGAGTGACAGAAGGACATTCCCAGGGGTGGCACCCTGACCAGTCTTCTGCTACCTGCCTTCTGTGGTTCCTCAGCTCCCAGGAGCAACCCTGGCTGCCCTCCATTCCCTAGCCTGGTTCCCCGGCCACCCCATCAATTCTGGGAGCATTGGACACCCTTCCAATACATCTCCCTTTTCCTTAAGCTAACCAGAGTTAGTTTTTGTTGCTTTTTAACAAAAGAACTCTAAAAAACTTTAAAAAATGACAAAAAACATAAAACAGTGTTACAGAAAGCACAAAATACACTGTGTATGCGTATGGGCTTGAAGAGAAATCCTCTACATTCCTACCACCCTAACACTTTTTATTTTTACCTCTTCTTTTAAAATCTTTGACTATATGTGTATACATTATACATGGTATTTGTTTTTGAATTATTTTCCCCAAAAAAGATGAAGTCCTAAACCCCCCGTACCCATGAATGTGGCCTTATTTTTGTAGGTGATCAGTAAAGTCATTAAAAATCTAATGACTATGGTAACGTTACAAAAACAGAAATATGGACAAAGAGACAGACAGACATGCAGGGAGAATGCCACATGAACATGAAGGCAGACACGGGGTAATGTACCGCTATGAGTGAAACATGTCTCCCTGAAGTTCAAGTGTTGGAAACTTGATCCCTGCTGTGCACTGACTGTGTCCCCCCAAATTCACATATTAGAAGCTTAATTCCTACTGTGACAGTGTTGAGGGTGGAAATCCTATTACGGTAATTGAAAGATGGGGCCTTAAAGAGGTGATTAGATTGTAGGACCGTGACATAGTGAATGGATTAGTAATGGTGGCCAGGGGCGTGGTTCTGAGGGCTTTACAAGGAGAGCACGTGAGAGCCTCTTTTTCTGCTCCACTGTTCTTGCCACGTGACACTCTGCACTGCTGTACAGTCACCTCACCAGATGTGTTCCCCGGACTTTGGATTTCCCAGCCTCAGAAACCGTAAGCGGTAGAACTTGTTTTCTTACAAATTATCCAATTCTATGTATTTTGTTATAAGCAACAGAAACGGACTAATACAATCCCCACTGTAAAGTATTAAGAGGGTGAGAAATCCAATTATGGCATTTAAAATGTGGGGTTTTCAGGGCCAGCCCATGACTCACTTGGGAGAGCGTGGTGCTGACAACACCAAGTCAAGGGTTAAGAGCCCCTTACCTGTCATTTTTTTTTTTTCCTTTTTGTCTTTTTTCGTGACCAGCAACGGATCGCAACCCCCAGTGTCACGCCTGTACCGGACCGGGACCGGCAACGGGATCGCAACCCTCAGTGTTGCGGCCGCACCTCGCTCA